TCGCTTGTGAACGCGTGTTTTTTTTCGTTTTCGGGCAAATACTGTTTTTCAGGAGATAAAGTGCAACGAAGCAATTGAATAAAATTTTTCAGCTATGCGACGACAACGAGAAACAAATTTGTTCGAATAAAGTGCAGAAAGTATTTGCGACGAATACAAGCGAAACGTGTAACCTTAGCGACAAACGAAAAAAAAAACTCGATGCAGTTGCACCAGGCGACTCTTTTTTTTGTCGCGAAATCATTTGTGTACGACATAAACGAAACTCTACTCTCATATCGCGTATGATAGCAGCGCATTATGGTTTTGTCCCGAATACACAAAAATAATAATAAAAAAATATATACACAACAAAAAGCATGCGGACAAAAGAGAACACAACGAAGCGTCACAGTCTGCTCCAGTTTTTTAAATAATCTTTTAATAAACATCTTTTCGAGTGTTTGAATTTATGATCATGCACTCGTGTTCGTTCGGCGCGAGAGAGAGAGAGAGGCATTAAAATAAATTAGGCAATTTAGCAAAGTATGTCACACCAATACAATGCATTTTTTGGTTTCGGTTATTTTTCACCACCTCGCCGCCGCATATCGCATTTCGTTCATTTGATTGCACCGAACAAAATTGTTTTTATTTATTTTTTTAGTTTTCTTTCCACTTCTTTTAGCACATTTTCACATTTTTTCGGCAATTTGCGCGTCGAAATATTTTCGCGTAAATTAATTTTGAGCTGAGCGAAAAAATGGAGAGCAAAAATTGAAAAAAAAAACAAAAGCAAAATAAAATGAATGGGACAGCATCAAGAATAACCATAAAGTTCATGGCGAATCATTGTTTTTTGTTGTGTTTGTTCGCAAATAAGGAGAGTCAAGACAGAAATGTTTTAATATTGTTCTTCCTGACTGTGTTTTTCTCACTCACTCACTCACTCACTCACTCTCTCTCGCTCTCAATCGTTGTGGTGTAAAACAATTGTGCTAAGTGTTTTCTTAACACTTCGATCGATATGCGTCCTTCCACATGCATATGTGCACCGTTTCAATCGACAATATCGCTGCAAAATAAGTTTCTGTCATGGGTAAAGAATGAAAAATTGGTGTGCTCGTTTTCAAAAGCAAACGAACAAGCGTAGATTAGGCATTAGCGTTAAGATTCTTATCACTCAGAAAATACAAAACTTTAAATCGCAATTCCTATCGCTTATCAAATGTCAATAAAGTATTTCGAAATTCAAATTTAGCCTAAATCACTTGAGAATTTACTATCAGCAAACTCGATTTGTCATTGCCAACAACGCTATACACAGTGAATGCATTTCCTTCTACGTCGATTTTTCCGTGTAATTGATTAGCATTTTTCATTCTCGATTGAGGCATTTTTCGTTTCCCTGAAAATCAGCAACAAAAATGACAGAAAATAAGAAAGGGCATAGGGTCTGTGTGGTTTTGATTTGAGCTATTTGATTTGCTTCTCGATCAAAATTGTTGCTGTCGCTTGAAAATGTTCGCGCGAATATTCAAGAATGAGTGTGCATGGCTGCCAATTGCTTGGTGTATGGAATGTGCATCACAATCGCATGCTCGGTTCTATATGCACATACATATACACATACACATACATCCATAGAATAATATGTATATGAAAACCTCGACAGTAATTTATGTTTTTTGTGCTCTTTCGTTATCGGATGCATTTCTCTCAATTGGATTGTCGAATTTAAGAATATGTTTTCGTGACGAAATGTGCATGGTTTTTTTCCTTCTTCTTTCGAAACAGTCGTAAAAACACATCGGCTGACGTGCATTTTGGTTGCATCACGAGGGGACTTATACAGAAGGGATTTTTGTAGCAAAAATTCTTTGCACAGAGAGTATCGTCATGCCGTTCCTTTCGCGTCTTCATATTTGGCTAAGCTTGCACATGCACACGTCTACATATAATAATTTCCACGTATTGGTTTTCTTCTTCTTCTTCTTCTTCTTCTTCCTTTTCGTGCATGTCTTTCATCCCGTCCGCTTTTATTTGCCATACATTATGCACATTGAACATGGGCAGCGTAGACACTTTAAAGGTGCATTTAATGCAATTATTCCGCGTGTACTTACTGTTATTGGAACAAGCAGTTTGTATATTGGCTGTTGCCGCCACGATTGCGTGGCTATACGCAGCATTAAACACAAACAAATGACTTACACTCGCAAGTATGAAATATTATATGGATTTGACTGCATGCTCTCTCTCTCTCTCTCTCTCCCTCTCTCTTTCTCTCTTGAGACGGTGTTCGTTCTGTTTGTTTGATTCTATGCAAACGAAAGAAAGACTTTAGAACTGAACTCTCTCTCTCTCTCTCTCTTTTTTTGAGTTTTAGCACCAAATGTTGGTGTATAGCCACAAAACAGACGACAATTCACTTTTTCAAAATATGAACGCATATATTTATGCATTTATGTGTTCTTGGTGCACGTTGCAATCATTCCAAGGCTTTTCACCTATCAATTCATTTCTCCGTTTTTCATCCTTCTTACGAAATTAAAAAAAGAAAGAAGTAATATACGTATATATCATGTATTCTGGTGCATTTCGAGCAGCACACCGAGAATTATATTTGCTAAGTACTGCATTGGATATGGACGATGTCTCTATCTGATCCATCACACTCCAATTTTTCCAACGCAAAGGGGAGTTACCCAACCAAAAATAACCAATGCATGCAATTGTATGCGTTCCGTTTTTTTTTTGTTTACCGAAATTATGAATTGCTAGCGATGTAAGCACGCAAATAAATTTTTTATGGCTGCTGTGTGCATTCAAAACCATTTTCATTCCGTATATTTGTTTCAGTTTCGCTTTTGTTCGGAAATTTTTGTGACAAAAGACACACAAAAATATATACAATACAGCCATATTTGCGCGTATTGCATTGAAGGTTTTATTCTCTTTCAGTTTTTATGAAGAAAACACTGAAGCGATGATGTCACTCGTGTATGAAGAATTCTGTATAACATTTTCGAACCGAGAACAACTTGATTGCGACGATGCAGTTTTCGTCAAGCATTCTTACGTTCAGAACATTCATTTGTACCGTCAAACCGAAATGAAACAAAACGAAACGTAGCACACTCTCAAAACACAACGGCTGGCCTTAGCGCGATTGTCATTTAAGCCATCGAAAAATTGAACACGATATAGCTGGCCAAAGCCCACGAGGTGTTCCAAACGTTTCATTGATCAAATGAAAATGATATGGAATGGCTCGAATAACCTCGACGAAGAAAATGGCAACAAATTTGAGAGTGAATTGCTTCAATCGATGCTGCATGTATGCATGTTGTGCAGTGCCAATGTGTTGTTGCGATTTTTTGTTTTTGTTTTCGTTGCTCGGTGTGCGGCGTGCACATTTGAACGGTACACATTTGCATTCTGATGCTCAGAACGATTCTAACAAATAAGCAAATGGGAGAAGGGAGCGAAAACATCTAGAAACCTCTTGAAAGTGTCGATTCGAGAAAATCGACAACTAGAACTTAAAAAGCTTCACAAGGTCTTACGTTTTAAAATTGACATCGATCGTCGAAATTGATGACGATGATGATGGTGGTGTGGTGGTGGTGGTGGCGATGATGGCGATGATGGCGATGATGATGATAGCAATGCTTCGACGGTTTGTAGTTTTATTCGAATTGTAGTTGCTTAAAAGCAAACTTCTCCAACCCGAAACGATTGCATGATATCGCATTTCAGATGAATAATGTCGACAATTGACGCACGTTTGACGATAAAGAAGGAAGGCTTTGCAACAAAGTGTGATAAAAAAAGGCAGAAAAGTGGAGCAATCTAGAGTTTTGGAATTTTCAGCCTTTTTGTAAATTAATCACACACTATGTCGATTCGCTGGCTAAATTCTACGATTGCATGGGTAGAACGGGCTGAACGAGAAGAACAAGATTTTGGCAATGATTTCATCGCCTTGATCGAACGGCAAAGTATTTATCAGCAGCAGCAGCAGCAGCGTAATTGTTCGATGCGAGCGCGATGGCAGTGTGAGTCTGTGTATATGTGGCGTGTGTATTGGTGCCGCTGGTGTCACTGTCGCTGAATGCATTTTTACTGCACTCTCAAATTTCCATAGCGTTAACGCTAATGTCGCTGTTAATGTGTGTTGCGCTGCAAGTAGTTGCAATTTTTTTTTACTCTCTACTTCTTTCCGTAGCTGAACTTATGGCATGAGGGCCGTGCGTGTGTGCTTGTGTGTGTGTGTATTGGTGCAGCCAAGTAATGCAAACAGTGCACACTGCAAATTGCACATTTTAGTAAGTACTCACAAACACAACGAGCGAAAATAATAATAAAAAAGGCATTTTATGACGGCGATGCATATAATTCGTTGTGAGTGTTTTGGTTCGTCGATGTGACTATGTTGTTGCTGTGTGTACTGTATCGTACAATTACTTGCTTCGTACTGTTTCAATCAAAAGAAAACGAGTACACGACAAAAAGAGAAATAGATAGTACCCGAGCACACACCATAGCATTGCTGAATCTCTCTCGCGCGCGCGACATAGACGGTATAGCGGTAAGAATAAAATGCACTTTGTATGCCATGTGTAGACGTTCGGCCGCTTTAACACACGTAATCGTGGTCGTATACAGCTCTAGCATGAGTGTGAGCTCAACTTAGCTCACAGTATTCGGTATTGAGGTATCGAGGTATTGTTGTATGCATGGAAAGAGAGAAAAACTACACTTACACAGCGAAAAAAAAGCATTCTCACCGATAAATATGCATAATAAAAGTATGAGAAGCATTATCTGTTTGCTGTTTTGTGTTTTCTGTTTTTCACGTACGGTTGCATGTTCGTGTATAGAGAGAGAGAGAGAGAGAGAGAGAGAGAGAGACGAGTAAAATGCATGTTCGGATTTTTTTTCCTTTGCAAGCGCGTTTCGGATCGGTGCGGTTTATGTGTATGCGTTTGTGCTGAAAGAGAGTAGTGGTTTGGAAAGGGTGTAGAACGGCATGGGACGCAGGCAATGAAGGTTACACTCGCTTCTCTCTATATGCAATGTATATAAAATTTTAGTTACTGAGTCGCTCTAAAATTGTAAAGAACTGAATAAAAAAACACATTTTATATTTTTTGGTGTGTGTTTTTTCCTATCGATTTTCTTCTTTAGTTTTTCTTGAACCAAATATATCTTCTATTTCACATTTTCCTCTTTCCAATTTTTTCATTAAATTTTTTTTTTTTTTTTAAATCGAAAATTCCGCGAAAAAACCGACGATTTTTTGTTGTTTTTCAATAAATTTTTGTACATTTTTCGCAACAAAAAGAAAAATATAAACGAACCCGTATATACAAAACATCATCAACGCGCGTAAGCATATACCATTCGAACTGCATTTTTGGTTCGGTTAAGTTCTACTGCAAATATTGGTCGGCTTTTGTCATTTTAACCGCAACTGACAGCGAAAGACAGAGCGGGAGAGAGAAAGATAGATTGCGAAAAATACGTGAACTATGAAGAAGGCTCGCGTTTAATAAAACATTTCTTTTTTAAAGAAAAAAAATGGAATATAAAATTTGGACAGTAAAATAAAAGTTAGAACAAAATGCAGTGGCATCACAAATTCTACAACAGCGTGCGTACGGCACGATGTTACTAAAATGCTGTTCAGAAACGATGCAGTGAAGTAGTTTTGTCGATTTAGTTCTAATAGTAATGATTAAATTGTGTGTTTAAAAGCTGCTAAAACTAACGAGAGAAAGAGAGAGAGAGAGAAAGAGAAAAATAACGACGGAAAACGGACACATCTCTTCCCGAAACCGACAACAGCCGTCGACTGTGCAAATATGTAATATCTATATAAAATTGATATGTGAAAAAATCCGAGTGGCAATGCAATGTAAAAAGAAATCAACTATTTAGTACAAAATATCCGCATTTGATGAACGATTGAACTAATTACGACTGCAAACATTTTGAATGTCATTTGATTAAGTGGAATTGTTTCATTTTTTATTTTGTTGATTCTGTGACATGTGATGAAATGAAAGAAAAAAAAACGTATTAGTAAGGAAATGATGAGAAAAAAAATAGAAGAAAATAATCCGCCAGTGCAATTGTCATTTACTTAACGAACAGAACGAATCCAAAATCAAAGTACTTCAACTTGAGGGACACGCATCGTTGTATTAAATTCCATTTTCCGTTGGTTTTACTTTTTATTTTGTTTAAATAACCGTCGCATGAATCCATTTACATTCAAGCGGCTAATGACAATTTCGCCAAATAATTCCATTTTTGTGTAAGTGAACAAAAAGCTAAAATGTTTTAACCAATTGCGTTCCAAAGTAAATACAATGTTAAATTTCGACCAATCGACATCACACACACACACACACACACACACACGAAAACAAATAAGAAGTTAAATTAAATTATGTACTGACGTGAATCTTCAAAACCTTTTTTTTCTGTGTAATATTTGTGGCTTTTTCTATTTTGCTTTCATTTTTCCTTCTGTCCTGTCCGATCAAAATTCCGCATGTATTTTTTTCGGTTTTCCCCTCCACCCAATTCATAAATAAACTATCGGCGATAACTTTTTGACCACACCGAAAAAAAAAACAAATTCGGATCGATGAATCGACGAATCCGAACGCAGTAAATCATTTGTGAATTGGGGAGGAAAGAAAAAAAACTCAAACAAAAATCTCTATCTATTCCTTCTTTCAACTTAAATTGCATAGTTAGAGCTAGTTGATCGCGAAGGCAGCGCTACAGTGACTCAATTTGTATTCGTTTTTTTTTTCGGCTGACAAAAAGGCATGCACAAAACATGCACATTAAATGTGATGACGTGGTTTTCAATGTGAATTGACATTATTAATTTATCGCATCGAATCGAACGTATGGTACTTCAAACGCAACAAGGAAGAGAACGCGCAAAAAAAGCACTCACTCACTCATTCATACACACACACACACACACACGTACACATACACACACATACACACAAATGTATATACAAACATACGAACGAATCTATAAAATTGAAACGAGTTTGATCAAGGTAATTAGCGTTTTGGATTTCTATGCTGTCATTTAACTGGAGTTTTATTTTTCATTAAATTACTTGTTGTGTTACCGTTGAATTTGTTATTTCTTCAATTTTCTTTTATCTCGCTGATACTCATTGATGTAGACGTTTTAGAATTTTGTTGTTTTCAATTTAAAATGTCGTTGAATTCATAATATGTATGAGGGAAAAAAACGTATAGGCTTTTTTTCTCTCTCTCTCTCTCTCACGCATACACACTTTTCTAGACTTATTAAATACATATTTATTCATAAGTTGCGCGCACGAATTATATTCAGATTCATGATTTAATGCATGTTTTGCGAGAGAGATGTCAAGTAAAATTGAGATACGGTGAGAGACGATCGATTGGCTTTATTTTGTGCTTAGCGCTAAACACACTCGTTGTCGTATGGTAATGTTTTTATTGATTCGCACCTTGACTCTTAGCAAACGCGTTGTTTACTTCATGCCTTTTCCTTCACATTTTTTTTTAACACGAATCAAGAATTCAAGGATAAATGCGCTTTTTTCGCCGCCGTTTCTTGATCAATTCAATATTTCTTTTAACATTCTTCGTGCCACGTTTTTCTTTGTTTAAATGGAATTGCGTGTGATTGGTCTTACATCCCCGGCCGAATCAAATGGGCGGGCATTTGCTTTGAGTCATCGTGGTTTTGATTGTGCCCAATCAACAAATATTCACAAGAAATTTGTGACACATACGCCGTACTAAAGTATTGCGATCCAAAGTATTTTTGAAGAATTTTTCGTTACTTTGGTCGCACACCAGATTCAAGTACGCATACACAATCCGCTTAGAAGTTTTACACTGTAGATATATCAACGTAAGCGTTAAAGTGAACGCATCACCGCCGTTCTATGTGCTGGACATTTTTATTGCGTGATCTGGGTGCTGCTTTATCATCAAGCTACTCATTATTTCAAAAGCTTTTCATTCAACCGCACTATTTGGAGTGTATCAGTCGCGCGATAAGAAGCGCGTGAAAATGACAGAAAAAAAAGAACACGCAGAACAGAAATATCGATATGTGGCGAAAAATCAAGCGATTAGAACCATTTTCCAATCGGCCCCAAAAAGACATTGAATGACACGAACACAAATTTACACACCGAATTCCATGAATCTATAGCCCAGAATCTTAATCGAAGATGGCTGACACATGTTCGCGTATGTACGTGTATATATTAACCATTTAACGCGTTCATGATTGCACACACAGCGACGATCCTGTCCATGCATGCTGTGCCGATCACTTACAATATGCTTCATAGTGTTTGTGTCAACATTTTAGTTTCGCTCTCTCTCTCTCTCTCTCTCTCTCTCTCTTTCTCTCTCTCTCTCTCTTTCTCGCTTGCTAGCTCGCTCGCTCTTTTTTGGTTTCCTTTGTTACTTTTGCTCTTCGTCAATTCGATGCATATGCAATCTATTACATTTTCCATGTGATTTAGCTGCTCCGCTTTTTTTTTCTTCTCCAAATCAAATATTTAGAATGTGTAATTAAAGCTATTTTTCGATTGAACAAAAAAAAATACTGTAGCTTTACTCGTGCCAACGTGCATTCAATTAACGGCAAAATATTTAAAATGAATCGAATACGAGAGGAAAAAACCGGCGCGAAAATAATTGAATTGAAAAAAAAAAACTCGAACTGAAAGCAAATTCGGCTGTCATGCAATAGAAAATAATAATTGAAAACGCGCTGTTATCAGCGTCGTTGCCAATTAAATGGTCGGTCGTTTATTGTTTAGCCATTGTTTGTGAATTTTGAATATGTGCTGAATTCAAATAAACGCGCGCTATCAGTAAAAATAAACAATTCAAATATGTCATCCCAAATAAGAATTGAATTTGAAATTTGCTTGTTGCTGTTAGTTTTGTCGTTGATTTTATGTTGTTGTTTTTTTTTCTCTTCAATAACAACAATTTTATTTTTCGTGCAGATTGTATTATCAATTGAAACAAATTTAAAATTTAAATTGAAATACATGAGCGAATATTCGTGGTTGTCAATTCGATGGCATTCGATTCGATTCGATTTTTATTGACTCTCGTTTTTTTGTCGTTTGTATGTGTGTGTTGTTTTTTTTGCTCTCATGCGCACGTCAGGGATTAGAAAAAGAAGTACAAATAAATAAATGTAAAATTGTTGTTGAAAGGTCGTAAATATTTGTAGTGCATTCGCAATTTTAACAACTCTCTGCATCATCTTTACGTCGGCGTATGTATGTGCTCCAATTTATTGCGCTTAGTTGACAAAAAAAGAAGAAGAGAGAATCGTACTGTCGCCCCAAAAGGTTAAATAGATTGCAGGCGCTTTCGTTTATGCAGCGCTCAATTCATTTTATTTCGACTAATGACATTGAAAAGAAAGAGACTAAGAATCGAAATGAATTTTTTTTTTTGGACACGTTGCTCCCGACAAAATCTGTCGTACAGTTTAGTTTGTGTCGAGTTTCAACTTTATACCAGGATAAGTTATTCTATTCTAATCGGCTATTTTCATGTGGCGACAAAAAAAAACATTCTTTATCAATTAATTTCGAAGGACATGTAGATAACCCTCGGCTGAAACTTTAGTTGATTTTAATTCTTTTTTTTTTCTTTCATTCTTTTTTTGTGTCATTTCAAAATGTTTTAATTTCGTAATGGAAAATGCCGCTCAGAAACGACACACGTCAAAATCATTTCATTAACGAAAGAAACGCTAGTGAATTTCATAAAGATTTTCCACGTATTCAATTTTGTTTTTGTTTTTTCCAACGAAAAAACAATCACACTTTGGCAATCGCCCGTCAAGGAAGAGTTCATTTCCGTCGAATGACTCAATTCCGCCAAAAGATTTATTATTCTATTTGCTTAATCAGAAATGCGCGCGCGTTGCACTTATCTCAACGCGGAAGAAAAATTTCTCGATATTACTACACAAAGTTGAAATGAAAAAAAAAACTAGCATACAAATAGTGTGTGTTCGAGTGAGATGGAAATTTCATTTTAAATTTCGAATTAAATTTCAAATGTTTCATAGAAACACAGGCATAGCGACATATTCATTTCATGTATTTGATTAGCGAAAATATTTCATTCCGTTTCATTGCTCCAATTTCGGTTACATGATCTTTGGCAGCCGAGTGAAGGAAAAATAAAATGAAAATGTTTGATTGCAAAAGGAAAAATTTCAATTTTCAACTCGTACACGAGCGCGCGCACACACACACACACACACACACATAATGAAGACTTAACCATAGATTCGATATCAATGGATGTATGGTTGAAGAAAAGAGGATTGACTTGTGCTATGCTTAGATTGGTGTGTACGTGCTAAATGCAATGCGTTGTGTGTCGATTGCTACGCGCTCGTAATTCTGGATTGAAATTTCAAAATAAATAATGGAGTAAATTGTAACAAAATGCGTGTACATGGGAGCAGAAAGGACATTTGATGCAATCGAGACAGCATGTTTGCATGTTGTGTGTTTGGCTTCATTGTTTCAACGGTTCTATGTGTCGTGCAGATTCGGTTTTGTGCATGTAATGTACACTTTTAGTTGTCGAGCGTCAAGAGATCATATCCTCTATGTGCTCGAGCAAGCGAGTATGTTCCATCCTTCGTGAATTATCTACCATACTTGCGACTAATACTGCGTTTGGTGTACATAATGGTCCGATTTAAATTGACAGAGTCACCTTTTTTGCATTCGTTACAAGGAATGGGCTACAGTGCGGCGAAAAAAAAACAAGAAGAAATAAAAAAAAGGATATAGCATTGGAGAGTGCGGAAGAGACATGTACATGTATATACATATACATATCATTACTATATAGCAATTGGTATACAAAAATGTGTGAAAGGAGCCAGTCTTGGCCAGTCCGTTCAGTGTTTCAATTTTTCTTCTTTTTTTTTTATTTCTCCATCGCTTATGCTGAAGCAATATTTGTTTTACTTTTTTTCTTCTTCATCGTTTTGTTTGCTTTTTCGTGGCTTTTTCTGAATGCAAACCAAACCGAACGGTGTACGGAGGTTTTTACCAGGCGAAAATGAGAGATTTCCCAGCATTTCTTTTCATACGCTCTTTAGCCTTGCGTATTATTATTTTGTCGCTGAAAGAAGACCAAACTACGAAATATGGGGTTTGCTCATACATTTGCACATGCACATACTTTCCTATAGATGCACATACGAAAATCGTCTATTAAGTT